GGAATGTGCTGCTCAAGCGTTCACCTTAGTTTCTCAGAGAGTGACTGATTCACATGAAGTGGTGTTTGTGCAACATCTGTCAACTTGGTCAAAGTTGGAAGATGTCAAAGATGGCTGATGTGCAACGTTCTATGATGTGTCAAACATTGTCTAATGGAATACAGAAGAAATACTTTTTTTATGTGATGGTTAAGAATGCAGGAGAATGTGTGGTGATATGAAGCAATATATAAATGAGGTATACAAAATTGAAGAAAGAGTGCAGGCTCAGTGGACAAAAGAAAGGAAAGCAAAAGAATAAAATAAAATACTTTTTTTTAATTGCACTGCAGTGATTCATACAGAAAGTGCACTAGAAAGAGAAACACACAGAAGAAAAAAGATAAAGGAAACAAAGAAACAAAGGCAAAAATAAATTCATGAACATTCCTGGGCTTCATCTTGTTTTGTGATTTTTTCATATAAAACAAGGGCAGACAGAGATGCAGAGAAGAAGACTACAGACTGAGGGACTGTAAGTTTTTGTTAAATTACACCACGTTTTCTGTTGTCAGAAAAAGGAAATACTGTTGGAGTGTGGGAGATGGAAGCGTTTGCTTAAGGCTTACTGTGAAATATAAGCTTACTATTTCTGGACCTCAGCACTCCCTCTCATGAGGCAGTTTAAATATAGTACCTACCATGATGCAACAGTTGGCACAGGACTTAGAATAAAACTAAAGAAGCACTGAAGATGAAAAAAAAAACATAAATCACCGTTTGAATCAGAGCAGACCACTGTTTGTTGTTGTATTTCTCTGGCCCTGTTATTAAAAATCTACACATTTGTCACACAACGTTGTACCGACGTCACTGGAAATACAAAGTTAGCTCTCTGCTTGGTAACGTTACACCCTACTACCACCATTTTTTCTGGATATATTTAGTATTTTATCATCTTGATTTTTTTTTGTCCTTGCTGCGTCATCACGCCAAGATCCATTCACATTTTTTATTCCATTCTCCCTCCTTTAAGCACAGTAAATACATACCATACTGCCCTACATACTACACTGCCAACACTATCACAGAAAACTCTGTGACTCTGAGTATTTTACTTTTCACATTAATTCATCCTACATATCCATATAGACCATTTTAAATAATTATGCCATACGCATTTGCATTGCTGATGATATGAACTTAAACAATTTTAATTAAACTGACCTTATTTTAATGTCAAATCTAAACCAACCAACCTAGTCCACATGTTAGCGAACCCCAAGATAATCAATCTTTAACGAACGTTGAGCATGAACTGAATCGCTTGTAATCACTCTTTATCAACTACCCCTGGTTTCCACACCTGAGCTGAACTCTTTTTAGCCATGAACTTAGGTTTAGGTGCACTGACAGGGTTGCTGCCTGATGCTGATTCAGGTCGAGCAGCTAGTGAAAAGCTGGGAGCAATGTAACTACTAGCAGGCTGGGGCTGCTGCGGCTGCTGCGGATAGGGCACTGAAGGAGCTGCAAGGTAAGGAGGGCTGCTAGCTGGCTGGTAGGAAACCTGTGGGGCTTGTGGGTAAGGAGGGTTGGGAGACTGGGCCGATTGGCCATGGTAAGCAGGTGGGGCGGCTTGTTGATACTGTTGGTTATATGCCTGCTGGTACAAACCAATGGCAGGCTGCTGGTAAGCATTAGGGGGTGCATAAATATTAACTGGATTTTGCTGGTAATGGCTATCATGCATCATTGGTTGCATGGGCATCCCATAGCCCTCTTGGGGGTATGGGGAGTTAAACTGTCCAGCTTGCTGCATGGGCGCCATTTGCTCATAACTGATTGGTTGATTTTCAATGGGTTGGTTAGATGGTAAATTCTCTGGCTTAGGGGCAGGAGGCTTTGAAGACTCCTCTGCTGGGCCATAGATAAACAGTGAAGAACTGAGTTGATATGGTTGATGCTTCATCACGTCTATAACATTCAGCTGTTTAACGGGAGCCATCTGCTTCTCTTTAGCTTTTTTCTTGTCCTTGGTGGTAGGAGTACTGGGAGATGGCTGCTTTAATGCTGCTGGGGGATAAAAAGGTGACTGTATAGGATTAAATGCCCGTGAGGGTGGAGCACGTACATTGGGAGTATACTTCCACTCATTTGGCAAGGAAGCAGCTGGTGATGCTGATCGACTCTCCTTGTTGGCCTGCACAGTCTCAGAGTCTACAACGTACTTCTCCATGCGAGACTGCCTCTTGGCAAACATGTCAGCTCCCTTCCCTCTAACGACTGGCATCTCATATGCAGGACCTGCGGATGACGGGTTTAAGGTGGTTGCCATGGGGTTTATGGGTGATGAAAGTCTTTGACCAATGGTAAAAGAGTGCATTCTCTGTGGTGGGGGAGGTGGGATGCGGCTTTCTGGGGTGTTCTGCAGTGCTTGCCAAGGTTTCGGTGAAGGATGAGGGTTAACTGTTAAAGAGGAAACAGTCACTGGTGTTTGCTTTGGCTCTGGTGCCCAGACTTTCACAGGTGCCTGAGGCTGTGACGGAGCTGGAGGCCAGCCTGTATTCATGGGAGGCTGTGGTTCAGGCCTTGAGAGGGGTGTTTGCCAGTGGGATTGTGGTACAGGTTGTCCTGGACCAGGTTGAGCCCATGGTTGACTAGGAGCCTGATTTTGCTCTTCTGCCCAGGACTGCATGGTGTGCTGACCCTGTTCTGGAGGTTGCTGGGACCATAGTTGGGATTCAGCCTGAGCAGGTACAGGTGTCCATGGATTTAAAGTGGCCTGCACTTGAGGCTGTGCTTGGGATGGATGCATCCAAGGTGGTTGAGATTGAGCTGGGGATGGGTTCCATGGATTTACTGAAGGTTGTTGTGATTGAGCCAAATCCCAAGGCGGTTGAGGTTGACCTGGGGCTTTGACCTGGGGCCATGCTTGTTGTGGAGTTTGTTGCTGTGGTGGCTGGACCCATGCCGGTTGTGTCTGGTATTCTGGTTGAGCCTCTCGAACCCAGGGAGGCTGTACTTGGGGTTTTTGTTGAGGTGTCTGCACCCATGGTGGCTGATGTGGAGATTCTGTTCTTTGTGGTTGTGCCCAGGGGGCTTGGGCCTGCTGCTGCACTGGTTCTTGAGGCTGTCCCCAAGTTGGCTGCATTTGCTGCAGTTGGGGCTGCTCATGAGACTGTGTCCAGGGTGGCTGAGCCTGTGGTTGAGGCTGAGGTTGATCCAGAGATTGAGACCTGGGTGGCTGAACTAATGGTTGTGGAAGTGATGTCCAGGATGGGTGAGCTTGTGCCTGGACTTGTGCTTGCTCTTCAGGCTGACTCCAGGTTGGCTGCCTTTGAGGGGTCCACGTGGTAGTAGCAAGATGAGACTGTACATGTGCATGTGAAGTTTGCTGTGCTACCCAAGATGGCTGTGATGGAGAATCAATTGATGGTATTTCCTGAGATTGCACTGCACTCTGATGCCATGGTGTGGTTGGTGGCTGTTGTGACTGTGATTCAGTGGGAGCCCAGGTAGTGACCGTGGCAGGCTCAGGATGCTGAGTAGGATTCAGATGGCCATTTTCTAAAGGGGCTTCAACTGGCACAGTCTGTTGTTTAGATTCATGCTCTGAGAGTGCCCATGTTTGCTGCTGCTCCTCCTCTGTTGTAATGCTGGCAGGAACCTCCTGGGGGGCAGAGGGGGGTGAGGGCTCAAGAGCAGGTGCAGGGGTTGGCTCTACTTCTGGAGCAGGGGTAGCGTCTATGGTGGGGGCTACAGCAGGTGTGCATACACTATTTTGAGCATGCTGAGCTGTGTCCTGGTTGTTCATTTCTATCTGTGGTGACCAAAGGAGAGAATTTGGGTTAACCATTGGCTTTGGAGCAACAGGAGGTGGGATCTTCTGTTTGACGTGTGGGGTTTGGAGAAAATTACAAGCTTCAGCTCCAAGACTAAGATAGTCTTCTTCAGGTCCTGTCTCAAAACCCAGTTTCCTATCCTTCCTATTCAGAAGGTTGAGCAGTACTGGGCTGGGTGAAACTTTTGGGGCTTCTTTAAATGTGAACATTGGCTTTCCGGTAGTTCTTCTTCCGGCAACCTGAAGAAGGCCAGTCTTAATTGCTGGGGTAGCAATCCGCTCATCACGTGAAGCTATCTGCTCCCCTTGGCTTGCAGATTCTTGATTGGTCCCACTGACTACAGGGGAATACGGGGTAGCCACCACGTTTTCAACTGAGAAAGGCTTTGCAGTACGATTGGTGAAAGAACTCAGAATTTCACTGCTTTGATGTTGAATGTTGCCATTGATGTTTGCAGTATACTGCTGTTGCTCTTGATATCCCTGTTGCTGATGATACATCTGTTGTTGGTAATTCTGCTGTTCATGTTGCTGTTGCTGATACTGTTGTTCATATTGTTGCTGCTGCTGATAGTTCTGCTGCTGCTGCTGCTGCTGCTGCTGATAACTCTGCTGTTGCTGGTGGTAGCTCTGTTGCTCTTTGTAGCTTTCCTGTTGCTTATAGTACTGTTGTTCTTGGTACTGCTGGTACTGCTGCTGGCTTTGCTGGTGCATATTTACATCCATGTATGCATGTCCCTCTGCCCCAGACTGCATATAGGAGTGCTCTGCTATTTTCTTTTCAATCTGCTTCACTCCCTCTACTGGAATCCCCTGACGCCTCAGCTCGTCATGTTCAGCAGAGATTTCCTCCATTCGCTGGCGCCGTTGAGCAAACATCAGGGCACCCTTGCCCTGGCTTTCGGGCAAACATTCCATTTCGGTTTGATTGTTGAGGTGCCTTTCGATCTCAAGAAGTCCTTTGTCCCAGTTGATGGTCAGCAGACCTTTAGTACAATGAGAATTAGTGAGGAGATGCTTTTCTATTTCAGAATCTTTCGGTGCCACAAGTGTAAATGCAAGTGTATGTGTTTCTTGTTTATCGTCTTTGTTATCCTCGTCCTCTTCGTCACTGTCCTCTGATTCGTCTTCTCCTGTACCGTAGCTCACTAGTGTGTACTTTTTGGCCCTCTGCCGATGTTTCTTGAACATCAACACACCCTTGTTGTTGGGGTTGGGCGGAGCAGCCGTAAGAAGGGTAGCAATACGTTTACATTTGGATTTGGCCTCTTTCACCTGCTTCTCAGACAGACTCTCGCTACGCCTGAGCCCTGAATTTGAAAGGAAAAAAGAGGATTTAGTGAAAAAGGATTAGGAAACCATAATCAAGAAGTAAATACTTCAAGTTCCTAGGATTTATGTACTACTCAGATTTAAGTGTAAGGCCTACCACACAACACTGGAGAAAGTATGCTGTTTATAAGAGGTTAAATTCCCACTACTGACATTGAGCGTTAATTAAATAAAGTCATGAACATGAGAAACAATTTTAACAAAAGTCTACAGTATGAATAAAAAACGCATTATATTTCATTATATAATTCTGAATTAATATAAGCATTAGAAAAAAGCATTAACACCCAGAAACCAACAGTTTATTTCAAAAGCTAACTTAGGTAAAACTTTTTTTTTAAAAAAAGAAAAAATTACCTGAGTCTGACGCATAATTATTAGTCATTCTATATTTTTAGGCAATGCAAATGAAATCCAACAGTATCAATGCAATCTTCCTGATGATTCTGAATAATAAAGCTCAGTCAACCATTTACTGTCCAGTAAAGTAGCTGTGAAGCTCACTGACCCATGTCTAATATGCTTATTTGTCCGCAGAAAGTGGACAATATTACATAGGTTATTAATCACCATACAGCAGTCGGGAATAGCAACCAGCAGAATTAAATATAGCCCTCATGCAATAAAATCCCCAGAGCCACCACATCTTTAACACCCCTCGTTTTCAACCTCACAAACTAGGGCCTTGTTATTTCAGAATAAATCACCTCAGCTAATACATACAACACAACACTGACGTCAAAAAGAAACCATTAAACAAAGCAACATCAAAAAGGATATTGACATTTACTCCTACTTTTCTCTGTTGCAGCAAGACTGACCTGAAGGCAGAGGAGACAGCGGGAGTGAGCAACGGACCTACTTTTTTAGCTCAGTTAAAGGACTCAGTTTGAAAGGATCAGGTAACGGACTAGGGGGAGCACATGCTAGTGTCTGTCAAAGGGCCACTTCTGCAGGCATCGTCAGCGTGCTCCTGTTATATTTATGTCTTTCACACTGCTCCAAGGAATGCCTCAGTACTCATATTCATCATCAAGTCTCACTGGAATAATTGTTTGAGATTTCACATGCCAAATGTGATCGATTAAACATACTGTTAAAGTCTAAACTTATATACAAGGGACCACCAGGCTCTGGAATTATTTCTTTAATATTTCAGTGACCTATCAGCTTATTAAGCATTAGTGCCTTAACACTAATCTATGACAAGACAATAATGGAAAATGTACTCACTAGAATGTCTTGCGTGATGTCTATTAGGTTTGTCTTGATCACCCTCAGAGTCAGATTCCTGATCGACTTCTGCTGTTTCCTCTTCTGCGGGAATTCCAAATGACACAGTAAAAGACCTAGGAACCCCGTCACAATGCCCTCCTCCTCCTTCTCCTTCACTTTGAGATCCAATGCTTCCACTGACCTCGGGGCCACCCACATTCAGGGTACCCCTCCCTTCTGATGATCCTGAGGGCTGCTGCAAAATGACCTCCACCTGCCCTGGCACTGAGCTAAGCACCACCCCATACTGGCCAAGGGGTTCTCTGACAGAATGGGGCTGGCTTTGGCTTTGTGATGCTGAAGAGGCAGGAACCTCGTCAACAGTTTTACTGTTGGAGATTTCACCCTCAATCCCGCGAGCACTTCCAAGAGAAGTGCAGCCGCCATCATCTAATGTTTGCTCAGACAGGGAAACCTGCAGTTCCAACATCTCCCCAGCGGAGAAGCACCTCTGTACTTCTGTGTGTTTAAATTCAGATTCTTGACAATGCTGATCATCAGACAGTGGAGACTGTAGCTCAGTGCAAAGAAGATGGGGTCCCCTGTGAAAATCTGCATCACTGTCCAACTTTTCAAAGTAGGCCTCATCCTGTGACTCAGATATAGACGGATCCCTCGGGCTTTGGGTCCTGTGCGTTGCAGATAAAATGTGTAGCGTGGTGCTCGCTAGAGCATCATCAGAAGAGTCCCTCTGGTCACAGAATGTCTCTCCTGACTCATAGTCTTCAGGGGGATCAGAGCAGTATCTGCCAGTGAAGTGAGGATGACAATTAGAGACTAGGACAAAATGAATACACGTTACATTGAATTCATAGTCAATATATATATATATATATAGTAGCTGTATTTTCAGTATGGGCAAATTAGGTTTATTAATTTAATTAGAAAAAAAAATACAAAGTTAGAATCCACAGAGTAATCAATATAGTGAAGCAGTTATGGACACACAGATTGACCCAAAGGTCAAGCTAGGATAAATGTTTGTTTATAAACTATGCAATGGGATGTAGGCTATGAAGACACAACAAAGCACTATCTATATGTAAATATGGTAGTGCAATAAAGTATACTCCTGTTGAGAACCTTTTATTCCTGGACGATTTGTCCCAAAACCCTGATATTGTTCTAAAATTGCATTCTAAGCCGTTTGGTAAATTTTTGTACCGTTTAAGAAGCAGCTGCAGACTGTCGATTGACGTATCGATGAGAGCAAAGGCTCGGAGAAGGGTGAGATCAGCACAAGGCTCTCCGTTGATTGACACCACTTCATCACCTTCCTGCACTCCAGCAGAGAAGGCATGACTTTCCTCTTCTACCTGTGGATAATACAGTCATTATAAGATCAAACTTTTATATGAGCTGTGTATAAATGTGTAAAAGATACTGTGTAAAACTTTAATTTGATCCCCTTGCAGCTTGACCCTGAATTTATTTGAATTGTAAAGTCAAACAAATGCTTATAATAAAAATGTTTTATGAATATTATGTTCTTATATTATCCACATAAAAATCAATTTTAATTTATTAACAGCACAACATACAGAATTTACCCTACAGCGTACAAGGAGTGCCTCAGACAGAGAATACATGGGCAAAGGCCTGCAATATTAAATGCGTTGATTGAATTTTGCCCACGTGGCTGTAATATAATAGCTGTAGGCCAGCTCTGTTCAATCCATTTAAAGGGCACCTCTTCGCAGACGAGTGACTGATTGTTCTTCTGTAATTGGTCCTGGGTTCTATGTAACGGGTTGTTAATAAAAGGATTTAATAAGAAAAAATCTACACCCTTGCAGAAGCAGTAGAATGAATAGTTCAGTTCCATGGAACTGGTTAATGTGCTTTCATACTTCAGATAAACAGTTTTAGGTAGGTTAGGTCATTGCCTAATTCTTAAGATTAATAATCTGTTAAAAAGATGCCAGATGTTCCAATAAAACGGTAGAAAAACACAGTGTTATAATCAATGATTAAATCATCCACCACATAAACTAGGCACTTGGTCAATTCCTCTGAAGAGTAAATTTATGAAATATAGTCGGCTGAACCTAGAAGGCAGTGAACATACTGTTCTGTTGCTACTCTCTTAGATTAAAACCATTCCATCACAAAACCCAAAACAGTCTCCATGGTTTCTCTTTGGTTGAAGGAACACAGAAGATCCCTCTGTCAAACATAGATACATGAAGCATGGCTCCATTGTTAGTACTGTCAAAATACTGCCAGTTTATTTTGTGCAGTACCTTGATGGAATATTTGTACTATATTTAAAAATATAGCCCAGAAATATACTGTTTTTTTCAACTATTGAATGTTATTTCTTTATAAAAAACGATTTAAGATTAAACTTTAATATACGGTAAATCCTAATATTTAACAAGTTTAAGGTTGCAGTAAGGTATTTTAGCCACTAGATGACAGTAAATACGTTTCTTTATCAACAGGGACGCTGTATACATAGTCATCCATTCCTCAATTCTTTATTTAGAGAAAATTGTGAAAATTGTTATCCAAACAATCCGAAATGACACACACAATAGTTTGACAAAAAGCCAACCTGTTTTAATTAGCTATAGTTACTATGGTTAGAGACTATTTATGCAAACATGTTTTATAAGCTACTGTACTTTATACTTTACAGAGCTGGCAGCTTTCTACCTTGAGGGAATTCATGGCTTAGTTTATAATACTTTATTTTATGCAAACAGGCCCTTTATGGTAAATGTGCATGCTTATCTATGGGGACTTGCAACAGGGACGATGTTATGGTTTTATGGGAACAGCTACTGCAAACTCTTGTTCTCCCAAAAAGGAGGGGAAATGTGTTCTCCTCTCTCCCTGCAACACCAATGAAGACAGACAGATATGCAAAGGATCTAAATGCCACCTAGTGTTTTGAGTCCAGCTGGTCGTAAAATGCTTGTAAAGAGAAACTAAGTTTAAAGCAATTTGACAGAAAGAATAACAAATGACAGGAACTGTATAAGAGAAGGTGGATAAAGTTGGGATACTTTTGGTAGAAGATATTATATCCAAAAACATTGCAGGTGATCCATATTTACATTAGAAATAAGGTTCCAACTGGACAGAAATAATGAATGTGTTCTCCTGGGTTGGCTATTTTCAAATGATCAATTTTACAGGTCAAAGTACAACAGAAAATCACAGGAAATATGGGACTGCATAATGCGTTCTCGTCGCCCCTGGCAATTCCTGGCCTCCCTAGCTTTAAGTCATTATGCTCTAACATTTGAGGAAAATTTCTTCCAGCTGCTTTACAGGTAACACGTAGACCACATGGGGAGGATGCTTGTGTTCAATGTTTAATTCAGTCCCTCGGTCTTTGTTTCCTCCTTACAAGATATTTTCCTCTGGAGAGACATAAACTTAGGCTAATACTATGTTGATTCATTTTATTTCATTTGATCACCTTAGGCAGGTTTAATCATGGGCTCTCAATGTCTTCATCCCCTCTGTTCATGGTAGTTAATTGTGGAAAAGTAGCCGACAAAACTAAAGTTTTACAATAATTATTGTAAACACTGTAAACAGCACAGGTAAAACAGTTCCTACAAACTCTGTATATAATGCAGGACAGAAAGACAGTTTGTGCCTTCAGGTAAAATGCAAACAGGAATTAGTCTATAAGAGCAGTGGGTCAACTTAGAGCCAAACTTAGCCCTTACATGGCAATTCACAGCAGTCAACATCGTAGACAAATGCTCACTGCATTGTCAAAATCAGTATCAAGCTGTTGGGAGCATTGACCTTAATTTGCCTACGATGACGTGAGGGGGGAAAAACTAGCACAGTCATCATCTCCTGCCTCATGGGACCAAGATGTATGAAGTTGAAAAAAGACAAAGCCAAAACTCCAGTAATGGAAGGAATTGCAGAGCACTTTGTTTACCCCGGGAAAACTGCTCTAAATGAATGAAGCAATGGCAATTTTGTTGATTGCTTGGCAGCTTAATCAGACTCCAATGGTTCATCGTTAAGGGCGGAAACATCAGCAACAACAGCCCATTTCATCTTACAAACAAAACAAGGGCGATGTAAACAAGGCAGAGACAGCTACTGTTTCAACCAACATGACAACACCTAGTCTACATGCATTTGTTCATTCTACTATTCATTAATTTCCATGTGCAGCAACAACACCCCAGAGAATAAACTTTTCAGACATGCATCCAGAATACATTTGCAGTGTTCCATTACTAATCTGATGCATGTTGACATTCCACATACCAAGATGACATGCCTCAGTAATTAAGAAGCCAAAATGTTCCCGGTTCAGTTTGGGCTGATTTACACAGATTCTATTTCTGAACGTCTGTTTATTATTACTAATGCACATTACATCACGGAGACTTTGGACTTTTTGCTGATACCTTCAAAAAGTGCATTAAAATTGTTGCCATACTGTCAATCAAATGTAAGTAGTGTTCTGGTGCATTTGTGGGTCAAGACTCGTAAAACGTGTGTGTTTCTGTGGCTTTAAAAGAAAAAAAGGTGACCTCATCAACTTTGTACTCAGGCCATGTCTCTGTCTAAGAAGGAACTACAGCTTCCCTTATATGGAAAGAACCTTTTTAAAAGTGGATACACCGTGCCTGTTCACTGTACTGCCTGGCAGAGTGCAGAAGAACTGCTTTCTCTCAGGGAGACAAAAAATAGTTTCTTTTCATTACGCTCAAATCAGACAGTGTAGAAAATCAGGCTCTAGAGTATTTGCCATGATCTTGGGATGTTTGTTTCTTTTTTGGATTTGTCTCTCAGTTAATCTCCCAAGAAGTGTTTGGAGTTATGCCTTCCAGATGAGTTGGGCCAGAACCCCCAGATGGCTGAGACTTAAACATACAAGCATCTCACAAAGCTACTTCCCTTTAAGAGGCAAAAATTTGTAGCCAGCATATTTACCAGACTCTTATGAAACACACCAGACCAGGTTCAAGTCTGCAACATTTCTAGCACCACTTTTTCCACGGTTAAATTTATACAATAACATTTCAAAAAGAAAACTGAAATCCAAACAAACAGAATATACTGGGTGGTTGTATAAAGTGACTTAACACCATGCAAACATGCACAAACTGAAATCTGTTCTTTGCCCATCATTCAAATAATCAACCCATATTTCCAGGGTGCTTCGCTCAGCTGGAACTTTGATGCCCCAGGAATGTAAACATTTACATCTTCATGTGGAGGACAAGTAGATGAGAGATGCAGCAGATTGAGTACTTGCAAACATGCATATCTACGCCATATATAGACACATCTGGCTTGACTGCTTTCTGAGTGCAAACGTGTATCATTATTTAAAACTGTTACACTCTTGTAATCTTGTAAAAAAACAGTTTTAGAGACTGAAGGAGCCCAGTGTATATCTGAATAATGTTATAATTTATTATGAACAATCACCACATCCTCCTCCTATTAAGCTAATCCGAGCCAAGACAGCATTAAGATGTAGATAAAGTCGTCATCTGTTAAATATAGAGTTGATTTCCACGTTATTTCATAAACAATAACATGAAGCTTAAGTATAAATACACGATTCCCAAAATCTTGAACTATTTTCCTGGAATGGAACGGTATTCTTAAGAAATAAACCCATCTCAGTCTGGATATTTGCCCCCTTGCTCTAATATCCGCGAGTGATAACAGATCACACTGGCCCCTGTTGCACACTCAACATGGCCTTGACCATATAAGGGTCCAGAGGAATCTCGCACCAAAACACAGCCAACGCTCATAAAAAAATAAAAAAACAAACAAACAAAAAAACAAAAAACAAAAACAAAACCAGAGGGACATGCTTCTGTTCCTAAGAAACACGCTGTCACTAGGGACTGTTAGTCCTTTTTCCCAAGTGACAAACTCAAGGCAACCCCATCACAACTGCTTTTTGCAAGGCAGACTGGAAAACTTTTCCTGCTTTCTACAAACACACAACCCGAACCTTTGACGCATGGCTAAATAAGATGAGATATATAAGAGATGATACATGTGGCATAAAAACAAATTAATACAGACCTGGGAAATTACAAAGGGTCTGTAGGTGTCTCCATCTTCCTGTCGCAGGTTAAATCCCCAGGGCGCACCGCCACGCAGCGTTACGCAGATGTAATCCCCGATGACCATGCTCTCCAGACAATCCTTCACAGCAGGAGCATAGACCTGACAGCCAGAGGTGCCGCACTTTGCACAAACCACTCACAACACTGCTCTGTATAATCCCCATCATCTGAGTTTCTCCCTGAGTCCAGCCCGCTTTGGAAACGTCACTGCGCTCAGATCCGCCTGAGGGGTTGGTGCATGTAAATTACCCCGTTCTAGGAAGTGCGCTCTGTTAAAGTTAAACAACAATAAAATAAAGTGAATCCGACAAGTATGCATGGAAATATACATAAATGAATATGTTACCAAATTACTAAAAGGGTTTTTACATGTTCAAAAACTTAAACAAAAGCAGCGTCTATAGTTTGATCAGTTTAAACCGATGTTAGAAACAGCGTGTGTGAAACAAGTGTTTTGTTTGGTATCATGCACATAAAAACATACACTTCCACAAATACACACAATTGCATTTAAGAAATTATAGGAAAGCCTCTCATGACATCCGTATTTCTTTAGCACTTCGCTATACTGTACCCCACTCTTACGCTTGTACTGTACTTTTGCTGCTGTCAACACTGTAAATGTCCTCATTGTGGAACGAATAAAGGACTTCTTAATATTGTAATGTAATGTGAAAGGGCATGGCTTATATTTTCATGCTTTCACAGTTTTTTGAGAAATTTCTAAACAACAACAAAAAAAAGAATACTATTCAAACTATCATGCACGAGAGTGGTAATTGCGAGTTCTTGCAATAAGGCGGGGTAATCGATAACCAATGGGTTAACTCCTGGGAATCGAATTCGCTTTTCTAGTCCTCAGACGCACTAGCGCGATGACGTCTGCAGGAAGACGTGAAACGCACGCACTCTTAGTTTGTTTTCAACATGGAGTCAGGGAGAATCGGTGTGACTTACACCAGAGTAGTAGTTGGAAGACACGCAGAACTTTGATAATGACGAGGTGGTGAAGAAAAAACATTACATATACAGAAACATAAACCCCCACAACGTGCCATAAATTAGGATTGATATGCCGTCTGTCATACGCTGCGTATCCTGGTTAACTTTAAACTTATGAACACAGATACTGCGTCAACCTGTTTTTACTGTAGTGTACCTATAAGTAATGTACATCTTCCACGATCACGGCAGTGACGTTATACTGGAAGATACTGTTCACGTTGGTGATGGGTTAAAAGCAGATGCCCCGTGGTACAATGACAATAAAAGACCATAAAATAAGAATACTTCACTTTACCCACTATCTGGGCTCCAATAACAACATTGCTCCTAATAATTAACAGAAGGAACAATCAATTAAAGTTTATGGTGCAAGATATACACCTTGGTGTTCTAAAGCATCAGAAAACTGTAACAACAAAATAAAATGACAGAAGACATTGATTTTCTCCAACGTGTATTTGTTGTTGTTAAAGTGTCAAAAAAGAAAAGAAAACATGTCAGGATAACACAGTATCCTGACACCAATGACCAAAAACAAGCAAAAATATATTCTATTGACTTTGATAAATTAAATAATCTCCCAAATGACTGAAAATTAATATTTTGTGTCACAAAATGTGCAGTGAGGTTTATAATTTGTTCTAAAAGTCGCATATTTTGGATAACCCTGCTCCTTCTATAGGATATCCGTTTTAAATTCATATTCATTAATTTGAAATATTATGTTTTCCACTTAATTTAATTTAGTTTGCTACTTTTTCCACTTAATATCACAATGACAAACATGAGTAATTAATGTATATCCTAACGAAGTATTGAAGAAAGGCAATTGAACAAACCAGTGGTAAAGCCTACCTCTATTTAAACAATAGTCACATTCAATGTTTTTCTTGTATTGACAAGAGATTCATCAAGATGAGACATTTTTTATATATTAAGAAAATACGCATTTTTAGAAAATGTGTTTTGAATGCATTATATTATATTTTATATATTATACTGCACACCTTAAGTCTATACATGTGCTGACGTGTATGGGTTTCCCTCTATTTAACGCATGCGTACTTAACAATAAATTGTATCCTATCTCGTGAAGCTCGTTTAAACACGTGGACACAAACCGGAACTCATAAAAGTTCTTTTCAAAATATTAATAACATATATTGCTTTCAGGTGATGACATCTAAATTATAAAATAAATAAATGTTTCCAAAGCCAAAATACGCCATATTATTCGTATCGCATGAGAGTTCTTGCCTTCTTATTTTTTGTCCGTAAAATTATTTGTCATTAGAAGCTTTAATTTGAAAAACCTTATTCGGAAACGTTGCGCTCCTCTTTAAGTGGACTCGGTAGTTTCCGTCTCATGTTCGTAGCATAGCGACACCGGTAGAGTTTGACGTGGCACTCAGCTTCCACTGAGGGCAATAGGGAAGAGAGGGGGACGAGAACTCTGCCCTATTCAGGTAAATGATAGCACTAACGTGTTTATTTATGTGTGTATTTTTACTATAGTGGTATCTGCCTTAAAGAGTTTTTCAACGGCTCTGGCAGAAATAAATTAGATACAAGTTTTATTAACATTTTCTTTGTAGCTAGCAAGACTTTAAAATCGAAACGTGAGTTTATCTCTCTGAGAACAACCTGGTTTGTAAATGTGTTATTGATCGTTATGTGCTCTAACTAAAGCCTAATGCCGGAGACAAAACAAGAATGTGACATTTAAAATTTTGATTTTCTAAGTTGGAATGTAAGAAGTGGTAACCGATGTTTAATTTATGTAAAAGTAATAATTTAGGACTATATAAACGAAGACTTTCGTAACAAACAATTAAAGCAGTAAACTAAGACAGTAGCATTTGCAGTGCACATTCTTCCTGGTGAATTACACCGTAGGTGATGATGCTTTACGTATTTCGCCCTCATAACGGTCTTTGACGTGGCAATTCGCGGACGTCGCTGATGTACGCAACACCCGAGCTGAACAATTAACTGACTTTTTATCTTTTAAATCTACATTCTTTTGAATGCTTACTATGTACAATACATACTTTATACATTTTTGCTTTCGTTGACTCAAATTTGTGTTAAAGAATCGAACAATGTTTTTTCTTGCAACTTGTGCAAAAGCGACAAGTGTTTATAGATGTGTAACAGCAAAACAGACACGGGGAATCTCGCTATTCAGATAAGAGCAAACGGTAGGTCGCCTTATCTGTCAACAAGCGACAGCAAAGGTTCATATGTTGCACAGTGTTGTTGATTGCATTGAGGTCAAATATCATTTGTTGCTGTCGTGCCTTGTTATACTCCCTTTGACAACAGATGTGGAATCAACCTGGATTCACCATAATATAATAGGCCAAATGGCATTGGATAAATACTTACAAGTAATTGTTCACATTAACAAATCTTTAGGTACAAAATGAAAACAAACGTTGATTTTGAAGCCAAGAAAGATTACAAAAAAGGCAAAGCAACACTGAACTGGTCATACATGTAGCATTTTGATACATAACAATGGTTAATTAGCATCAAGCTTCAATGTGTTTTGTCAATATTCTATGTCACATAGAAATGAAACAATTGTATTTAAAGTCTATTGAGGGGCTTATACCCCTTTTAGGTAAATGTTTTTCAAAAACGTATTAACTTCCGTGTTTGTTTATGTTTAATGTTTAATAATATATTTGTCCCTTTGCTTTATTTAAAGGCTACTGCATTACATTATTATATACTTCAATTATAATTACACCTGTAAAAAAACACAACTATATATTCTCTTTTCATAGATTCATGCACTTAATAATTTAGATATTAAAAAAAAATCTAAATTCTATTTTGTCAGTTTGGATTTTACGGTGAATTGATTTTCTAGTTTTTTGTACTCTCTTGTACGTGTATATTCTGGGGTGTAACATTTGGCCCATAAACAATACATTTGTTTCTAACTTAAAACATATTTTAATAACATGCAGTTTGAGATTCAAAATCTGATATCTAAATTCCACAGGTTTTCAGTGGTTCAATTTGGAATGAGAGCAAAGTAGAAGTCATTCTAGGAATGAGTCAACAGGGTTATGTCGCTGCACCCCCATACTCCCAGGCCCAGCCAGGGATGGGGGGCTACCAAGCTGGATTCGGGAGTGGTCCTACACAGCCCCTCTACGGGCATTATGGAGGACCACCTCAGACTTTTAGCACTCAACCAACAGGTAAATTACAGTGACTATGTTTTGGATCATTTCTTAAATAACATGGCTGCTTAGTTTCTACAGAACAGGTCTGCACATGTCTTTGAAATTGGTGCAGCCCCTTGTTTAAGTCACAGTTGGAGAAAAATTTGCTCATTTCTTATTGAAAAATAAAATAAAACTTATTTATGAAAAGTGTGTCAGCATTTCCTTGAATAATTGTGTTTTCATATTACTACTATCGCAAATAAAGAATCTGTTGGCTTCATTGTGCATGTCACTGCAAAACCCATTTTGGAAACAAAGTAAAAAGATTCTTACAACACTTGCAATCACAGCTGTATTGATCTATTACAGGTATGATGAAGTCACCAGTGTCCTCAGCTGCTGGTATGCCTCCACCTCCAGTGTCCAGCCAATATAATCCAAATATCCAGCAGAATGGCACTCATCCACAGAGGTAATCATTTTCCTTACATGGGCATAAATCAAAGATATGTAGTTAGAAAAAACCTATGATAATGTTCATATTTGCTTTCCATATACTCACTTTTATGTTATAACTTCCTCAGGTATCCTTCTTCACCTGCTGCTGCTGCTGCTGCTGCTGCTGCTGCTGCTGCTGCTGCTGCTGCTGCTGCTGCTGCTGCTGCTGCTGCTGCTGCTGCTGCTGCTGCTGCTGCTGCTGCTGCTGCTGCTGCTGCTGCTGCTGCTGCTGCTGCTGCTGCTGCTGCTGCTGCTGCTGCTGCTGCTGCTGCTGCTGCTGCTGCTGCTGCTGCTGCTGCTGCTGCTGCTGCTGCTTATGGTCCACCACCCATGTCTCAGTACAACAGCACAGCTTCACCTGGCCCACCAGCAGCTCAGCAGCTCAGTAATCAGATGAATGCTATGAATTTGAGCAGCCACGGTGAGTGTGCTAATTACATATTGTGCATTTGTACATAATGTGCTAATCCTACAGCAGGGTGTGACTTAACCAACAACAAAAAATGTCTACTTTTGCATACAGTCACATGCACAACCACATAACTATTTTTTTTAACCATTTTTTATTAAATAATAACAAATAATAGCTTCTTGTTACTGTATTACCAGGACCCATGCAAGGCCAGGCTCTACCTACCAGCCCTGTAACACACCAGCCTTACCAAATGTCTGCTCCACCAGCCATAGGCCAACCACGCATGCCTCCTGGCCCCCAACCATCATCTCCTCAAATGGCTCCTCTGCAGTCACCCACTGCTAACATGGGAGGCATGATCAGACCTTTTTCTGGGCCACCTCCTCCAGGGGCTGGAGGTTTTCAGCAGCCAGGTCTCGGAAGTGGTGGTCCAGGTTTTCAGCAGCTTGGGCCTGAAGGTGCCGGTCAAGGATTCCAACAGCCTAGTCTCACAGGTGGTGTTCCAGGTTTCCAGCAGCCTGGTCTTGGAGTTGCTGGTCCACCAGGATACCCACAGCAACCTGGTAACTGTTGTTGCATTGTGTTACTGTAGATAATTATATAGTAACTTAGCTTTAATACATCCACTAGATAACACGTACTGCTTCATTGCTCAGGTCAATTTGGGGGACACATGGCTGGACCCCAGCCAGGCATGCCAGGGGCCTTTCCAGGAGGACAATCCGCAATGGCGGGCCCACCACAGAAAAAACTGGACCCAGAGTCTATCCCAAGCATAGTAAGTTGATAATATGTCTTTTTGGATCCCTGTCAAAGGCTGATTGGCCACATGTACAGTCCCATATTTTGGTACCAATTGAAAAGGAAATGCGCCAAAATGCAAATCTAACAATTTTTGACATTTGAGAACATAATGAGATGCTACAGCATGATGTGTTTGTTTTAGACCCAAATCATTGAAGAAGACAAAGTTGCCAGAGGAGGACATGTGTACAGCACAAATATAAGAGGACAAGTTCCACCACTGGTCACCACTGACTTCACAGTACAGGACCAAGGTAATATAATGAATAAAGATCCTGGGTGTTATTTATGTTTTGGTGTATCATTTTAAATTATGCTTTGAAGCACTAGTCCCCTGCCCCCGGGCCACGGACTGGCCCCGGTCCTTGGGTCAATTGGTACTGGGCTGCACAGAAAGAATGCATAACTTACATTATGTTTTATTTATTAACTGATTCTGAATGATCTTTATTTTGAAAAATTTGGATTCTCTCCACTGCATTTGTCTATGTCTCACACTTGATACATGTCAAGACGCTTGCCTCGGTCACAAGTCTTACCTACATCAGCTACCTTCTTGAAAGGGCCAGTTTTGGTGCATTGCTAATTATATTGTCATCTCATTAAAACATTTAAAGTAGCTACAGAGTTTGCAGACTGAAATCAATAGTTGCATTCTGTGCTTTTCTCTACAAGGTCATTGACCCTCTTCTTGTCTTTCCTAGGCAACGCCAGCCCTCGGTTCATCCGCTGCACCACCTACTCTCTGCCCTGCACCGCTGATCTGGCCAAACAATGCCAAGTGCCCATGGCTTGCATCATTAAGCCCTTGGCCAGTGTGCCAAAGGATGAGGTAATTTGTTTTTCATCCAAAATTTTGTGCCAGTTTTCTCATTTGAAAAGAGCATGTTTATTTATATTTAGATATCAACTTAATACCAGCCAAAAACAACAGGGTGTCTCACCCGTTTTCCAACAGATTGCTTGTGTAAAAACATTTCCTTCTGGTTTGTTTTTTACTCGGAAAAAGCTAAATGCTACTACAGTACATATATCAGTGTCTCTGCCACAGATGGAGAGTTTTTTGTTTCCAAGACGCCTTTTTGGATTCTGTGTGGTCCAGGAATTCTTTTGTAGATATTTATCTCTATTTGCCTTCTCTCAGACAACAATTGCCCTATTAGGAAATGTTAGTGAGCTAGTGTCATAGTTGTAGGAGCCCTGAGGAGGCGTGAATGTCACAGAGAAAATAATAAAATCTTAAAAGACACTCTGTGATTTTGTGTCATTCCTTGTGGCACATATTCCCATTGGAAATGTTTGAGACATCTTCAAAAATTAAGATTCTGTAAAATAAAATTTCTTAAACTTGGTTTGGCCTTGTGAGGAGCCTCAGATAATGTGGGACTTAGCACCAACAAAAACTGTTTAATTTGTATGATTGATATGGGGAAGAAAGAAATTAATTGGTTTAATATAATTTTAATGAATCCACAATTGGTTAATATTTTCTTTTAAGGCATTAAAATGTTCATTTTGTCTTCTACCTAGACTCCGTTATACCTTGTTAACCATGGAGAGACTGGCCCCATCCGCTGCAATCGATGCAAGGCCTACATGTGTCCCTACATGCAATTCGTTGATGGTGGCCGTCGCTTTCAATGTGCTTTCTGCAACTGTGTCAACGAAGGTAGAGTTATTGAGTCAGAAATCCAAAAGGCATACGTTTTAAAAACTGACTAAAAATATGCATACAGGTTAACAACTACCTATACAATTTTCCTTTTTTACTGCAGTGCCAGTCTTCTTTTTTCAACATCTTGACCATATGGGGCGTAGAGTTGACTTCTACGAGAGGCCAGAGTTGTCCTTGGGATCCTGCGAGTTTGTGGCAACCTTGGACTACTGCAAGGTACTGTACAGAGTTGCATTTTGCTAAGATCTGTAATAATATGAATTCAAACAAAAGAAGAGTGAGACAAACAGTTTTCATATATGCATCAGTTTTACCTGTGCAAATGTATATGTACATAATCATGTTATAGCATTTAATGAAAAAGGTACAGAGCTAAGACAGAACAGCAGCAACTGACAGACGGAATTTGACAGGTATGAAGGGGAAAACTGCCTCAAGTGTTTTCCGTGTTCAAAATGTTGTGGGCAAATTTTTTTATTTTGAAAAATGAACACAGTTGAGCAAAAAATGCAATGTATTAAAATATGTACAGAAAATATATGATAAACAAACTTTAGTAAAATTTAAAATTTTGGGTTTTTTTTTGTGTCTAGCTTTAAATGTTAAAATGTATTTACAATTTCTGCACTTTTTCTGACCTTGCAGTGAGACATTTTTAGGATATGTGTTGTAAATTGTCATTCAGATCATTTTGCTCAGCCCTAATATATACTAACATAGAAGCCTGTTCCACGTTCTTAAGCTGCTGTTTGACTGTTGGAGTGGATCGGCAAAACTGAGTCACTTCACTGGCCGACATCTACGCTGTTTATTAAGACTTACTGTATAAACACTCTCTGTGGGACTGAGGTTAAACAACAGACTGCAAGATAAGTGTCTTGTCATACAGTTGATTGAAACTTTGTTAACAAAACAGACCACAACCGACAATTGTCTGTTAACACTGACCTCCATTCTGGAAATACTGCCTTGGTGACAGTACAGGGAAGTGTATATCTGCACGACCCTTGTAGTTAAGAACAAAATACCAATTTTTATTTTTTTTTATTTGCTATAAATGTGTAGTTGTCAAACAAGCAATCCACATGGCAATTTATTTCTTTTTAAAATACTACCCACAGAACAACAAGCCTCCAAATCCTCCTGCCTACATCTTTATGATTGATGTGTCCTACACAAACATCAAGAGTGGTCTGGTCAAGCTGATATGTGAAGAGCTTAAGAGTCTGCTGGAGAAACTGCCAAGGTAAAAGATGTGCATTTCATTATTTAGAATACAACTTAACCTGTACAATTCTACCATCACGAAAAACATTTAAAATTTAAGAAATAATTTCTCCCCATTTATTCACATCTAACGACATCTAGACATTTAGACAAGAACCTCCACTTCTACAGGTGAAATTGTCCTCAAATTAATATTTTTTTTAGCTTTGTTGGACGTTTTTTCTTGAGAAATATGTTTTAAAACTAAATGGAATTTAAAACCGTTATGTCGGCCTTAAACTGACTTTCATCTGTGTCAGATTTCCCTGTCGCTCTTACCGAATCTAAATGACAAACACTGGACACACTTGAATTTTCAAAAAGATTCAGTGACTATGTAGCTCACCCAACTTAAATAGAGTCGGGGTCTGCTTTAACTGAAAGCAGATGTACAAAGGTATGTGTGTGTTTTCTTTTTTTTCAAAAAACTGTTTTTATTCAAAACAGATCCATCTTCAAATCTGTTATTTCCATCATTACCCTACTGTATGACTAAATCCTGTATAGGGGAAACTTTTGTGTGCTGACAGTGATTTAATTTAATTTGAGCAGGAGGCTACCTTTTAACTGCCGTATATTATGGTGACAATGGAAATACTTAAGTGTACATGACATCATTTCCTTTTTTTCCCAGGGAGGATGGTGCAGAGAACTCTGTGATTAAAGTGGGCTTTGTCACTTACAACAAGGTTCTCCACTTCTACAATGTAAAGAGTGCTCTGGCCCAGCCACAGATGATGGTGGTTTCAGACACGGCCGAGATGTTCGTCCCACTGCTCGATGGCTTCCTGGTCAACTACAATGAATCCAAGGCTGTTATCTACAAGTAGGTTGCAATTGATACCACATCATTAATTTGTTGTTTTAAAGTGTTAACAAAGATCCCGTACATTATTAAGTCACACTGGGATTGTCACTGCAGCCTCCTGGACCAGATCCCTGACATGTTTGCAGACACCAGCGAGAGTGAAACAGTTTTTGCCCCCGTCATCCAGGCTGGAGTGGAGGCATTTAAGGTCAGTTACAACAATCAACAATCTGTCAACAGTTTTAGTATGAACAAGTCTAAGGGCAAATTACAGGGCAAAGTTGTTTAGCTCAATATTTTTTTGGGGAGGGGGGTCAGGGGGGTTTATCCCCAACAATTAGTCCAAAAAAATCCTTTTGGTTTCTGTTGCATTTGTTTCATTTTGTTACTTGTGCTGACCTCAGCACAGCAGAGAGAAGGCATCCGACTAATCAACTCCATGAGCCAGCACGTTTATTTTCCTGATGTTTGTGCTTGCTTAAGAGTCCAATAAACATTTTAGTGATATGAAGTCAGTGTTTGGGGGCTCAGAAAAGGCAGCTCTAATGGGCAACAGTTGTACTTACATAATAGTACAATTTAAACACATTTACTTGATGTTCTTTCAAGTCCTTAAGTATTTGTCTTGGGAGCATAACAGTCATCTATATATGATCGGAATTATCATTTACAGTATTATATTGAGTTACCCCTGGAATATATGTCAAATGGGAATTTTAGTTGCAAAAGTACATACATGTAAAAACATATGGATGTTATATAAAGTTATAATCTGGGTTGTTTTTTTTTTTTTTGCACTATGACGTTTATTCTTGGCACATTTTATTTGTGCTCTTTATGGCATTCTTTGTCAATTTTTAGGTGCTCCAGTGTTTAGTTGTCAGGAGTGTAGACAGTGCCCTCGTGTGGCCACAGACGAAAAGGGATCCATATTTATCGTTTACATTGCTTACGAATATGTGCCCCAGAATCAGGAACACTACTAGAAGTGGACAGACCACTATAAATACCATTATATAAAAAGAGTGACATGTCAAACCTGGATATTTAACATCTTTTTTCTATGGTTGTTGTCAACCTGTTAGGCAGCAGAATGCAGTGGCAAACTCTTCATCTTCCAGTCCTCCATGCCCACCGCTGAGGCTCCAGGCAAACTCAAGAACAGGGATGACAAAAAGCTGGTCAACACAGAGAAAGAGAAGGTGAGCAGGTTTTTTTGAGTCAGAAGTCAGACAATTTTCAGAAATGTATTTCCGACTGACCCACGTAAATGTCCTGTTTCTCCTCTTCTTAGCTGTTGTTCCAGCCTCAGAAGGCTGTGTACGAGCAGCTGTCTAAAGACTGTGTGGCACAGGGTTGCAGTGTTGATCTCTTCCTCTTCCCCAGCCAGTACGTGGACCTGGCAACCATGGCCGATGTGCCCTCTCACACTGGGGGCTCTGTGCACAAGTACAGTAACTTTCAGGTATGGTTTAATGTGCACGATTTGGCATGTGTGTCTGCGCAATACTTTTTTATTTGTATTTTTTTATTTGAACTTTAATGTGTTTATTTTATAGGCACGTTCTTCATCATAAAATGTTATTGTCCATATAATAACTTTGGCTCAGAATCTGTCAAAGAAATGAACCTACTATGAAAATCCTTTGGCACCAAATTGTAAAGCCACATGGATTATCATCACCAAAATAAACTTAAAATATATTTTTAAAACTTATATTTGACTTAACACTGTTAGTTTTATACCCACCACCTTATTGCTCTATGACCACGTTGTTGACTTGTCGCCATCTGCTGATCGTATAGATTAACTGCTCACAAAAATCTACTTGTCAGGTGGAGACGGATGGTGAGCATTTTCTGAGAGACCTGAGGAAAGAAGTACAAAAGAGCATTGGATTTGATGCCATCATGCGTGTTCGCACCAGTACAGGTGAGTTTTTTTTTGTTTTTTTGTTTTTTTTAGATTTGGATGTAGGCACATTTCTTTAAAGAGTCGGCGTCTGTCATTTTCAATATACATTTTGTTTTTACTAAGGTTTTAGAGCCACAGACTTCTTTGGTGCCATCCATATGAACAACACCACAGATATAGAGATGGCAGCGCTGGATTGTGACCAGGCTTTGACTGTCGAGTTCAAGCATGATGACACACTCAGTGAAGAAACTGGGGCTTTTATACAGGTATGACAAAAAAAAAACAACATATTACTAATGTTATTGGCTCTTGTTCTGATTATAATTCCTTTTCTTTTTCCTCAGTGTGCCTTGCTGTACACCAACATCAGTGGACAGAGGCGGCTGCGTATCCACAACCTTAGCCTGAACTGCAGCACGCAGTTGTCAGAACTGTACAAGAACTGTGAGACAGACTCACTCATCAACTTCTTTGCCAAATCAGGTGACGGTCCTTCACCATTTGACTCCATCTGTTTGAGGGAGTTATTGTACACAGTCAGACTTGACCCCTGTACCGTATTTTCAGGATACTCGCACCAGTGCCCTCTAGCGGCGGTCAGTATGAAAATAACGAACATGTAGATTTTTCCGTGGTACAGCAGTAGCAGATACTGGTACACAAGCCTAGAATGCCTTCTAGCGGCTGTCAGTGTAAAAATAACAAACGTGAAATTATATATATTAATATAAGTCACACCTGAGTGCAAGTTGCAAACCCAGCCAGAGGATAAAAATAGAGTGACTTATAGGTTGGAAAATACAGTACCAGTTAATACTACTATGCTTTCTACATACTACAGACCTAAGATTTCTTCTTTTTTTCCCCTCATTCTGGCAGCCCTTCAGCTCACACTGTTTATTCCCACATACTTATCCTCACCTGCCAGTTCAGTCTGTTTTTTTTTCCTCCCCTTCTTCTGATTCTAAAATTCTTTTAATTTCCTTTCAGCTTACCGTGCCATCTTGAACCAGCCTCTGAAGAATGTAAGGGAGATTCTGGTCAACCAGACAGCTCACATGTTGGCATGTTACAGAAAGAACTGTGCCTCTCCCTCTGCTGCCAGCCAGGTCAGTGAACTATACCATCTGTAACAAAGTTTGTCAAACTATTGAATTCATTGCTGAAACTCCCCCCAAAAAACTAATTACATTTGTGTCCATACTTGTCAAACTATTGAATTCATTGCTGAACCCCCCCCCCTCAAAAAAACTAATTACATTTGTGTCCATATCTAGCTGGTTCTACCCAACTCCATGAAGGTTTTCCCAGTCTACATGAACAGCCTAATGAAAACTGCTCCCCTAGTGGGCAGCACAGAGTTGGCTACAGATGACAGAGCCTATCATAGGCTCTCAGTCATGGCTATGGGCGTAGAGGACACACAACTTCTGCTCTACCCTCGCCTCATCCCACTGGTGAGTCTGTTAGATTTAGTTTTTCCCCCAACAACCAGGCATTTTAGTTGTGTACTCATTAATATTCTAATCAAATCTGCTCTTTGTCAAACAGCACAACATGGACATGAACAGTGAGGCTCTGCCTGCTCCAGTTCGATGTTCAGAGGAGTCTCTTGCAGACCAAGGAATGTTCCTGCTGGAGAACGGTCACGCCATGTTTCTGTGGTTGGGCCAAGCCAGCTCGCCTGAACTCATCCAGAATGTTTTCAACGTGCCCTCACTCGCCCACCTGCAAGCGAACGTGGTCAGAGTTCATTTCGTAACACTTCAGCATGTCTGTAATCCACAGGAAACACTGTTTCTATTAAGAAACTAAAAGAGAATTTCCCTGTCAGTGCCCAGAGGTTTTCATGGAAATTGTTTGCTAGTAAGCAGTACCGTGTGTTTTTGAAAAGAAGAAATCCTGAAGAAATAAAACCATGATTTGATAAATTTAAATCTGCAAAATTCAAAAACTGCAATGCATGTGTGGTCTTTAATACCAACTTCACAGAATCAACAGCATTTTTTAAACTATTCTGAGATCAAACATCAAATGTCATGTGGTCTTACTGTAAAAGAGGAAAAACAGTTTATCAAAAGCATGTGTTTGCTCTTTGTTTTTAGTTGACGAAATAATCTTCACTGACTCGATCGTAATTTTAACATTACCCTCACTGTGTTTTCTTTAGTGTTCCCTGCCAGAGCTGGACAACCAGTTGTCAAAGAAAATCCGTTCCACCATCAGTGATCTGCTGGAAGAGAGGCCGAATTCCATGAAGGTGGGTGATGGAAGTCCTCCTTTGCCTGTCAAAATAAGAACATAGAAGTTAAACACTTGAGTTAAAATTGGAATGTGATGTAGATTTAAAATCTGTCTTTTTGTATTAGTTATAAAACTGTGTTATAACCTCAATGTTCTGCTCCACTCAGCTGGTGATTGTGAGACAGAAGGACAAACCAGAGATACTATTCCGTCAGTTTTTGGTGGAGGATAAAGGTCTGCACGGTGGTGCTTCCTACATGGACTTCCTCTGCTACGTTTACAGAGAGATCCGACAGTTGCTCACTTAATTGGGGAAGTTTGGCTGCAGTGTTGCTGTCCAGACTGGCTAGGCAAGCAACACAGCGCCTAATGGACCGAGCACCAGTTTTCATGGCCAGTCTCAGCTGGTTTTAATTAAATTTTTAAAGGACAGTCTTTTTAAAGGATGGTGCTTCATAAAGACACGAGGAGGGAACCACAATCCAGGAGTTACCACGTCTTTACCCACTTGCTGCCTTTTCTATCTGCCTGTCAGCGATTACTATACATAGTAGTGGGATTCTGCAAGTTATCACTTGAGGAACATCGGACCAAACTGCAGGAATGAAACGTGAATTTCCTATACAGAAAACTAAGAGGACAGTGGAAGCTGGAATTACATCTGAAATTTCAAAGTCAGTTTTTATTTTCACCTAATTTTAGTTACATTTACAGTCAGCATTACAGTAGATGTAGAAGTCATTTCAAAAATGTGTCAGTGTTTGTTTCCAAAAACATTGACTGTGATTTTAATAATGAATTTCAACAACAATGAATGCAAAGAATTGTATAATATTTAAATAATTTCAAGTGCCATGTATTTCATTCACACCAGGGCAACATATTTTTATAATTTAACAGCTGTTTGCCAAGATTGAAAATGTTCCCTTTTGTTACACCATGTTCAAATCCAAGCATTTCAATCACACGTGACCTGACCAGAAATTCTTTGACCTTTTATGGCTGAGACTTGGTCTTCAACAGTAAGCAGTGATGCAGAAAACATTCTGTTTTGATGTTGAGGGGAATAAAGGGAAATGAACACAGCTGCAGTTCTGCAGGAGACCAGAGACAACCGCACTTTGCTAGGGTGAAAAGGAATTTCTCCTAAAATAGTTCCTAGTTGACTTAATTTAACAATAGTGAAAAACAACAAACAAGATTGCTGGAAGAGGAAAGATGACTGGGACCAAACTAAGTTTTATAACGATTATTTTCACAATTAATATCAGGAGGTGGACCAAACTCTCTTTTTTGTTAGGATTATTTGAACAAATAAAAAAATTCCAGTTGAAACCCATTTACCTTGCTGGGCCCTTCCGGCAATAGCTTCTCAAACCCTTGAAGGGCCTGCCCCCCCCACATTGGGAACCACTGAACTAAACTTTTTTTTTTAAACTTTATATACACTTTTAAACTATCCATAAAGTCTATATTATATTATCGCTATTCATTTTTACAGCAACCAATGTCTGCTCAGATTCATATTTCAAATTGATAAGTCCATTATGATCTTGTCTCGTAAAGGTGTTCTGTACATTTAAAAAATGCACAACTTGTGTTTTTGAACCTGCACTACCATAGTTGCTATAACAGTGATATGTCCAAGAGTATGGCTCATTTCACTCTAGAGTTTTCAGTTCATCAGTAAACTTATCTCAGGTGATTTCAGTTCTTTTGTGCTATGTTAGCCTTAGAAGCAGCATTTTCAATTAAAAATGGGAATAATATCCGATACTATTTTAGAGCCAACTCTTGTGTTCTGTTTCCAAACAAAACCTTTGCCAATAAATCTGTGACTCCTTTCAGTGCCATTATTTGCCGATTACACGATGATGAAGACTTATATATACTTTAACTACATATTTATAGGCATAATGTTATGAATGCCATGTGATTAGAGACTTCAAAGCAGCAAAATAGAGATTTGCATCATCTTTTTAACACCACAAGGGGGAGTCAGAGGACAGATTATTTGTGTAAATTTTAAGCATAAAACTTTAATACATTTTATTAATTAATACATTTTATTAAAAAACTTGACATGAACATTTTAATTATATAATTATACAATACGAAAATAAATATATAATTATATCTAATTATATATTTCATATTGTTTAAAGAACAGTTGAATCCTGCTAGCAAAAGAAAAAAAAATATTTTCCAAGTGCTCTAAAGTCACCACTAGAATCCATTATTCATCGTAAAAAATATGTTTTAAAAAACATAGCCATTAAATGCACACAAATATGTAGTGCAAAACTAATTTGATTGACCTAAGTTCGTGTCCAAATAGACTTGTATTGTCCAATTTACACCACATGGGGGAGCTAGGACTGTTTTACAATGCAGCATATGTATTGTGTCACATTTGTTTCCTGCAAGCCAATTTTAATGTAATTAAAAAAAATGTGATGAATATAATTTTATTTTTCCAGTTTGGACTTAATTCAATATTCATCATCTCTAAATGTGTAAAAAGAACAATAATTTTCCTTTACTCAGTGTGTGACCCCACTGTTTTAATTTGCAATCATCTCTACCCCTCTAATGCATGACAAATATTCATTCATACCTATTCATTTCCTATGTTATTTGAGTATGTCTTTGACACCATTATATATTATCATTAAATAATCCAAATGTTAAGCAAATATATATATTTTTGACTGGTGCTATTTTTTTTACTTTATGAACTAGTTTTACATCTGTATGTCTACAAGTTTGCACACAATTAAAAAATGACCCACATGAATGTTCAGTGCTATTTGGTAGAAACAAATGTCATTTGTCCATGTTTAAATTAGGATTTGTATTTGCTGCAGATCTCTAATTGCCATACAAATCACATGTTTGTTTTAACATTCATATCTTTCCAAAGAAAACATGTGAACACAGGCTAAAACATCAGTCTATTAGCTCAGAAAGGGAAATAATAATAATAAAAAAAAAAAAAAAAAAAAAAAAAGCTGTGGAGTATGGTATGTGTAGAGTATATTTACAGATTTAAAACTTTTAAAACTTTAAAGAAACAGTTTATAATGTTAATAGTTACATTACAGGTTCAGGTACTTCAGTTTATTAAAAATCTAACCTGTTATTAGACAAATATACAATGTGTGTAAATGTACTAAATGGACTACACGTACTGAATGTGTTGTTGTTTTGTTGAACCACAGCTTGTGTCATTATGAAGCAAATTATTGTTAAAATGTGAATTTTGTTCATTTCACTTTGGTAACAGGGTCATTTCTTTGATGTAGAAACTTCATAAAATAATACAGAGCCGAGTCTTGTTCATAAAATACAAATAGAAGAATGTAAATAATGTCCTGCACCATGCAAAAACAAGTTAGTAAAAGAATATTACAAATATTCAATTGAGTCCCAACGTAGGGACTCACCTTGAAAGATATGCAGGCAATACAAATTTCAATTAATAAATGTTTCAAATAAAAAAATGTTTTCCTCAAACAGCAAAATAAACACAGATACAAAGGTCAGGTTGGATGATTTTTTTTTTCATTTTTCCATGAAAATACACATTATCTCCAGTAAACTGTCAACAATGAAGTTGGAAAATAATTAATCTTCTGCTTTCATAAATAAACTAAAACAAACATAATGCCTGGTTTGACCTTAATATTTCCTCATTCACTGCAGTACAAAGTAAAACAACAATCATCAACAATGAATGCATCAAAATGTTACCTATGTTCAAATTTCATTTTTACCTTTTTCCTAATGGGTGGGGGTTGTCTTTATCCAGAAAAAGGGGAGGGGGAAAAAGGATCATACCAACCAACATAATCCAAACATCTCTATCAGAAGTCCAGCACCATTCAACAAGCAAGATGCAGTCTGAAAGAGAGTCTTCTACAGCACCCAGCATGCTTTGTGCTAGCTCACACGTGGATGCATTCACAGCAGGAACCAATCAGTCTGAATTGGTGTGAACAGCTGTACCTGGTTCACATAATGAGGAAGTGAACGAGAAAAGAAGAGGCAGGAAACAGCAGGAAGTGGGTTTTTTCCCTCTTCTTCTCCTGCCAGAGAAGAACAGTCAGAAATGATGACTATAATACAAAGTTTTTACGAACTACTACACCCCCACTGTGCTCTTTTTTATTTATATTTTTTTATTAAAAACAGTGACTAACGGAGCAAAAATCTTGAACCTGCCACAGAGTGAATGTTCATTGTAATACTGTACAGCAGACAGTGTTTAGTCCAATAACTTCAACACCATATAAATAACCTCAAACACTGCTTCAGATGTAAACTCCTCCACAATGCTTCAGGGACTAAATTAAATAGAAAGAAAAAAAAGAAAACACAATGATAGATGTTTTAATTTACAGATAATATACTGTACACATGGTATTAAGTGAAAACAGTGAAAGCAGCATTTACTTCACAACAAAGAAGAATCTCCCTTATGCCGTTGTCTCACATAACGGTGTAGATGTAGCTACTTGTGTGCTTCTGTTTGAGGACACGTCGTCCACGTCAGCGTCTAATCTGGACAGCAGTACAGTCCTTATGTCGTCTCTTAATTCTAGTTGGCAAGTAAACATAAACAACAAAGTCCAAAAAAAGTTTTCTATAGATTTCTTATCTCTTACTATTTTAGACTATTTACAATTTAAAATCCTACAATGCTTGTTTTTCTTTTATATATTTATATATACACACATGTATATATCTGTTTATATATATATACATATATGTATATATATTATATATGTATATCTTTATTATATACAGTATATATACATACATATGTGTATATACTATATATACATATATGTATATATTTATACATGTATATCTTTATATATATGTATGTGTGTGTGTGTATGTATATGTAAATCTATCTAAATGCTTCCTTCAAACTGACATTTCAATTAAGAAATCACACTGGTGGAAACACTCTGGAATTAAACCCAGGCTGGAATGTAAAAACACGGAGTGATCGTCTTCACGTCTTTTGCCTTTTCAATGCTGTAAAAAGTCACAGTGATTTCACTTGGCTGTGCATGAAACAAGTCAAAGCTGCGGCAGGAGAAAACTCAGATATCCTCCGTGCACAAATGACATCACTACCAACACTATTCCAAGAACAGGCTGTTTCGGCAAACACAGACACAGACAGATGGTTTAAAATAAACAAACAAACAAAAATAATGTTCTCGTCCCCTTCACTCATTTCTGTTATGTTTTAAAAAAAAGTCATTCCAGAGTGTTCGCACCACACTGCCCCGTCTGAACTGCAGCCCACGGTGATGAACACGTTATTTATCTATGATCAAAAGTCTGCATAGCACACTACACGGCACAAGTCCATCACTGGGCCGAGTTGAAGCTGATGCTCTCGTCCAACGTCTTCGTGCCAGGATGACAGTTAAAGAACACTTTCAAAGAGGTGCATTGATCGCATGATGTTCTCGTCCTGCAAACATAAAGACAAGACAGGATAAGTGAGAAAGCACCAGCGTGGCTGCAGCAGCAGCGGCAGAAGGTGGGCTGGAATGATCTGGGTTACGTTTTGGCAGCAGTCGATGAACTCATCGATGGTCACCACACCGTCTTTATTCTTATCCATCTTCTGTAGGAGAGACAGAAAACCAGCACACTGCTCAGTCCCCTCTGGTCAGAACAACTGACGTCCACAGAGTGGTGACAGGCACTGCCCACGGCAGACTCACCTGGAAGAAGACCTCTACGTGCTGACGAGGCGTCTCTTCCTTCAACATGGGGTACGTGCATTTTCCCATCATGTCGTAGATGGCCTTCATGATGTCCAGCATTTCCTGAGGTGCAGAGAACAATCAGTGCTTTCACCACTTTCAGGTTTTAGGGATGAATAAGCTCAGGGTGATACCAGAAATGAGTTAGAATATAAAAGTTGCAGTACAGCTATGGTAGCAAAAAAGTGAATGTGAACCCTGGCTAAGCACAAGGCCAGAAATTTAAATAATATAAAATGAAACTAGTAATATAAAATTATTATAATTGAAATATATTAAAAACTATTTTTATTTAAAAATAATCTTTTGTCAACTTTTCATTTTTTATAGACTAAATATGCATTAATAAATATACAATATAAATATATTAATATCTAAATCTAATCTGATCTAAATAATTACACATTCTTTTCTTATTTTATATATTTACATATACATACTTATTACATATACAACGCACACAGTGAAAACATTTATATGTATAAACAATATCATCAGATGTAGTTTATATACATATAGGAAACAACAACGCTGTTTCATATGAAACCTGATGTATTTAAGTCAGGACCTGAGAAAACAGTTAAATAATGCATACTTTAATTGTAAGTGGTATTAAAGTACACAAACCTCTTTAGTGATGTATCCGTCTTTATTGATATCGTAGAGGTTGAAAGCCCAGTTGAGTTTCTCCTGGACGGTTCCTCGCAAAAGGATAGAAAGACCCATAACAAAATCCTGCAATAGAAAAAAAACAACAACCCACAATCATAGAAATATTAATCAGCTAACACCAAATCAATGTTAACTCAGGTATTAACCAATGCTTTGTGATAGAATATCAAGGGTGCAGATATTATAAAATTAAATCCACTCATTTAATTATAAGTTGTTTTATAATCTTACCTCAAAACTCACAGAGCCGTTGTGATCAGTGTCAAATGCATTGAACAGGAAGTGTGCATATGTTGAAGCATCTGTGAGTGAGAGAGAAAGAGAGAGAGAGAGCACAGCAGGCCACAGGTTACGTTTTCCAATGAAGTGATTGACTGAAAAATCCTGGAGGATCTACACAGGGATTTAGATAAAAGTTTGAAATATCCATGCGTTTCTTCTGACTTCCCATGAACTGTAACTACTTCAGAATTTTTTGGGAACCAAAAGCTCGAGTTACAGTTTCTTAAGCTTACTGAGGAAATAAAATGCAGCTCTACGTGAAATCACTTAATGGGAGGTTTAATAATCAAAAGCAATGGCCTCAAACCTCCTTGTGGGAAGAACTGCGAGTAGATTTCTTTGAAAGTTTCTTCGTTGACAACTCCGCTGGGACATTCCTGCAAGAAAAAGTGCAGCAGTCAGTTGTCATCTTCATTGAAGCTCTTTTTTGGGACGCTTCTGTCAATCATGGTTTAATTCTCACAACTAACAGGCAAGTGAAGGAAGAGACAAAGTCACACTAGTGGTTGAAATATTTCAATCGTTTTTTTTTCTGTAAAAGTAATGGGGAGTGGGAATTTAACACAAAAATTACATCAGTGGATAGGACAGAAATGGACTAGGTATATTGTAGCCACACACTTCCTGATTAGAGAAGAGACTTCATTTACATCAATACATCAATAAACCAGTAGTTCTCCAACTTTTTCTCCTCTGTACCACCTGAGAAAACATTAGCTCTCTCACCATGATGACCAACATTAGAATTCCCCTGCTCGTTCCACGTTCAACAAGTGATCCCATGATTCCGTGCTGCCTGTGCTTACATGAGCAACAGACTTGCATTTCAGCAAAAAGTAAATTAAAAAAAGTAAATAAATAAAAAGACCTGACATCCTTTTTTATAATCTCACAAGTAGCTACACATACTTTCTAAATGTTGTATTAATTCTGCATGGTATGTTTCAGATTTCTTCAATTGAAAATGTAAATGTGAAAATATGAATATACCCCGCGTACCACCGGTGGTACATGTACCACAGTTTGAGAACCACTGCTCTAAACAAACAAACAAATAAGATGATTGTTTTCATGTACATTTTTTGCATTTTGTGCAAGATTATTTTTATAGTCACTGTATAGTTATGACATTACTCCATCTTCCTGTTAGACAACAGCACAAATGCGTGTTCTCTGATATTCTCAGATGTCGATATATATATATATATATATATTCTTTTTTATTGGTTTCTATAGACATGATGAAGTAATTAGGGCGTGGATTTGTTTGCCCACTGAAGGCCTATGTGAGGAATGCACAGCACATCACTTGTAAACAGCAAGTCTACATGCTGCACCACACAGACATGTGACGTATATTATGCAGGGATATCTCCTGTATATGACACTGCATGGACGAGGGTGATAAGGAGGAGACGGTGTGTTGGTGTTTTCATCAATAACATAAAAACTCTGGGCTTACCAACCAGTGACGCTCCAGTTTCTCCAGTTTGTTTTTATTACAACAACATGGTTGTGCACATGTTCAAGTCATGTTTAACCATTTTGTGACCTTTCTGGTGTAGAAAATGTATGTAATGTCACCAATCACTTCAACAAAGTGACATTTGTACAAATTGAACTACAAAAATTGTTTTTTATTATAAAACCTTTCCAGGATTTCAAACCTGTTAATTGTCTTATTTTAGAACCTACTGCTCCATCAGTTTAGTTATGTTGTTCCATTTACTCATATCCTGACCTGCAGGTACTGTTTCTCCCAGAGAGCAAAGGGCCACGGGTTGAAAGGATTCAATTTCCCTACTTACAGTTTTCAGTACTGTTCACAGATTACTACTCTGTGTGATGGAGCATTTACTGCAGTAGATAGTATCTTCATGTCAGATGCAGTAAATCTGTTTTATGATTACTTTTTTGATTTTATACTTTTTTATGTTTTTTTTTACATTCAATATTGTTGTGCAACACTAAACCTTACAATGAATTACTTCAAGTATAAATAACATTTTACTACACTTTTCTGTGTGTATGTGTGTGATATTGTACAGACATGGACAAGACCAGCTGCCAGCCCTCATAAAGAGCTGCAGCCATAAACTAACAGCTTTGTGTCAAGTCAGGTGTTGTTTTTCCTCATCTTTCATCAACTTGACGACTCACAGAAAATGAAGACAGTACTTTTTTATTGACACAGAAACAGGTTTGTCATGGACCGTAAAAATCTCCTTAAAGTCTCATGTTGACACCAACCATCAATGTTTTAATTAAGGAACATTACACATCTTAGCAGCCCAGCTTAAGTTTCAGCTGAATATTTAAAGACATTGACCGATGTCTTATGGTCCCATCAGGTTAGTAAAGCAAAAAGTCAGTCGTTAAATTCTGACCACATGTTAATTAGAAAATATTTCACTGGCCAAAAAGATGTAAATAACATTTCATTGATTTTAGTATTTTTTTTCTTAATTTATTTTCAGTAATTTGATATTTTACAGTGACAACTACATAAAAGACACAAAAGAAGGCTTATAATGATTGAATTAAAGGGTCTTTTTATACTGTGACCATGTGCATCAGTTTAACAAACTGATTTGTTAAACCAAGCCTGGCAAAAAGTCAATGAAGCTCCAGAGAAAATTCTGAAATCCCAAAACAGAAAATTCAAGAATATACAGTTGTGTTCGGTTGTTATCCCTGTAAAATGTAATGGCTGACTAGAAGTGAAACTTTGCTGTCAGCAATGCAGCAATAAACAGAGGTCAAAATGAACACGAACACAGGCGTTGTCCGGAATAGATACTGTTAGATCTTTGTCTAAAGCTCCAGGAAGTACTCCTGAACTCTGACTAGTAAACTACAGTTTTTACAGATTAAATCTTTTCCAGTGTTAGGTGAACCAAGTTTTTGATAAGGCCTTGTCTTTCCTGGGATCCTTTCATCATGTAGAACTCCTGAGCTGGAATTCAGGCAATTTTGATCACCTGACCTTCAAGCAAATAATCAAATAAATTTTACTAACAAGTAAACGAACCTCATGCTGCCACCTGCTTTAGGGATGTGCCATTTGAGTCTAAACTGTGGACACAAAGGACAATGGGTCAGGTTTCTCATCACTGGAACTCTGCCCAGGTCAATTAGTCTGTCTGATGTTAAGAGGCCGGACAAGGTCACCGAAAGAGTGGAAAATTAAAAAAACAAAAAAAAAACAGAAACAGGTTTAATAGGAAAACCAGAAAAAAATGCCAGAAAATTAAATTGCTATAATCCAACTTTGCTAAATGCAGTATTCCACAACATCAGAGTAAACACACAGGAGTTAATCATCACAACAAAAGTCCCAAATGTATCTGGTGGCACTCCACTGAAAGTCTGGACCAGACTGTTCTGCCGTTTGCATTTATTGTCTCCCTTTTAGATTTTGTGCAAGTCCCCAAATGCACCATGTTTGTGGCTGTTTTTCCTAACAATAAAAAATTGTGGATTATGTCAAATGTTCAGCTTGTTTTTAAACTGCAAAACAACATAGTGTTGCTGTGGTCTTAACCTGGACATCTGTACTTTTGTACATTTCTCTAGAACAACTAAAGCGCTCAAACCTATAATAATGAAAAATTATAGCAACAAATAACATCCCAATTTAATGAATCACAATAATATATAATTAAAATAAATAATATCCAGTTAGTCATAATTTCAAAACTCAACGTGTGGCACATATTTACAGGAGCAAAAATGTGACATAATTAAACAAGTTAATCTGAATGAATTTTGGGGTTCACACTGTAAAAGTTCAACTGAGATGATTCCGTCCTCACTTGTTTCCTCAAACCGTTCTTCACCCAAGCCATGACCTTATTATCTATCAGGTGGCAAAGAAAAAAAAAACAAACAAACAAAAAACCCCATATTTGCCCAGGTCAGCACTCCATCATTTCTGATGACACAGGAAAATATGTTTTGCTCTGAGTTCCATTTTATTTATCAGACAAGTGCAGCAGAGGTTATTTAGAATACAAAAACCCTGACGACTACAAGGAGCTGCGTATTAAATTAAATCAAAAGGTTTTTTCAAAGACAGGTGTGTCCGGAGAACAAAGCCTGAGGAGATGTACGGTAATGTACTTCAGAAATACAGCTGAAGCTGCACAGTGAGGGTGGTGGTGGTGGTGTGACTTACATTCTTAAAGCCTCTGTACAGGATCTGTAGCTCCTTGCGTGAGAAACGTGTCTGAGCTTCCAGCTGCTCCAGGCCCTCGGGGCGATGGCGGACTGCAGAGAGTTCAAGCTCATCTTCAACGCTGTCTGAAGAGGAGGAGGAGGAAGAAGGTCAGATGTGAACGTATGCATCGCTGAATATACTTCTTTTTATAAAGTCACACTTGACATGGACATAAATTGCAGATGACCTTTGAAAATAAAAGGACAATTTAAAATGAATAAATTGAAGTCCTTTCTCCTCATTAGGTCAGCCTTAATTTGGACACGTTACTTACTTACTCCGTGCCAACAACAAACACGACAACAGAGATAATGAGCTTCGTCCAAAGACCAAACAAAGTTCTTGTCACAGAGAGTACCTTCAAGATGAAGGACAGCGGAACCCTGGGAAACTGTTTAATGGTTGCAGTAATAATGGCCGCGGCAGATGTTGTCCACTGGCTGTCATTGCAGTGTCTCTCATATAGAGGACACTAATCATAATCCAAAACAACGTCTGCACGCCTCATTAGCACCATTCCTCTTCATATGGCCCGCAGTCAAAATGTTGCATCCACCGTACTTACCCATTCATCAGAGCACAATGAACAAGAACAATAGGAGTGTTTACTAGGTAAAAGTACATCTAAATACATATTTAGATTTAAATATTAATAATATTATGATTTATAAATTAAATAGCTAAGAAGTAAACAAAATAAAATAAAATGGCAGTTTAGTAATGCACAGTCATTTTTATTTGTTTAGACAAACTCAATTCTAGTTGGTCATCATAATCCAACTGACACTTGCCAAATTGATGTGGGAAGTCACTGTAGTGGCCCCAGAAAAAGGCACAAGCCAGAAATTATAAAAATAAAGATCCTATGCATGGCAAAATATTTAATTTAAATATTTATATTAAATATTTGGCTTACATTTAAGAAGGTGATTAAAGTTTTCTAGATATGCTTATGTTCATATAAGTCAAAAACGACAAACTCAAAATGTATTGATGACTGAGTGAATCCCACTGGCACATGTCATAGAAGAAGTAAAATAAAGTATGAGGACAGAGGAGAGTCCGAAACGAGAGCCTTGGAAGAAGAGCCACTTGCTTTGATTACTGGAGGACGGCTTTTTGGACATGGAGCACGGAAAGAACCTCATGAGTCGAGCCCTCACGCCGCGCTTGTGGGTGATCTGAGGGTAACCTGAGAAATACAGGGTTAGGTCTCACCCTTGACATCCAACAGCCTCAGAGCATTCTGGGAAGCGGGGCCATGCGGAATGAGACGGAACCATTTGTATCTCACGTAAATGTTTCTTCAGGACAACAGCAAAATAATGTAGGTTTAACACAGACCGTATTTGGTGTTAGGAATGGAGAAACAATGTTAAAATGTAGGTTGAGGACAAAGTAGCTCACTGGGTCACATGACTTATTAACTAGATTATTAACTAGACTGTTAGCATGCTGTAGGTCAACAGAGTAAATGACAGGCTCTGAACGTGATACGGCGCAGGGATGTGACCTCACAGCACGCCGTCATCAGGTGTCACCTCTTTTAAAACTCAGTCAAACAAACTAGTATCAACTGTCATGAGGTGGAACATCAATTGATGACCACAGGACACACTTGGTCATCTCTAGGTGACTTTAGCACAGCCTGTAGTTATGAAAGCCATTAAATGACAGCCTTTTCTCTGCACAAATCCATTTCCTCCTCTTGCTTCAGGCATTTCCTAAAATATTTACCATGAGCTCTGATGTCAGCAGCAGGTGTTCGGAAAAGCCTGCAAGTGTTGAACGCTATTTGTCAATCACATTTGAAGAAGCAGAGACGGAAAGGGCAAAACAATTAGACCTACATTTAAAGGAAAAGTCTGTAAACGTGGGCTCTTAAAGGAAGAAGACAAGGACCACTACATCATTGAATGGAGATTGTAAAATGAGCCTCGTTAATTTGTTCCTTTATCTGGCAACCGCACAGCATTTCAGTCCAGCAGGGGAAAAAAAAAAAACAACTTCAGTCCTGACACTCAGGCGAGATGAAAAATGATACGTGGAATTGCATTGAATGAAAGTGTTCACATTATCAGGAGAGCGGACTGCTACATAAAAGAATAAAATATCGTTTTAATCATAAAAACCACTTGTGTAATAAATCAGGAGATAAGTCAGTTTAATTTAATTTAATTCAGTTTAACTCATATTATTGAATCCTATTGAATTAACACTTTCAAAAGCATTATGAGATGGAAGAGTGGTGACAAAGCCTTAAATAATACTTTTGTTATATCTTTGTTTAGAACTATATTTGTATTACACTAACCTGTTTTGTTGCACCTAAACTTGTAAAATAAATATTACTCAATGTTTTATATTTAAATTATAATAATTTAGTAACAAATTCATCTTATATATAAATGAAGTTTAATTCAAACCATAAAGTTCTAGGTTCAAATCTAGCGATATGAAAATAAGGTAATGACATTGTCTATTATTTTGAACCTAAATTTGCTAATTATTCCTTACTTGAATATTGAAAGTGGTTTTATTGCTAAAAACAAAACAAATATATCTGATAAAACTTCCTAAAAATCTTTTTATACTGTCTATCTGCATTGGAGCTCCGGGAACAGAGATCCATTCAAAACAGAGATTGTCAACTCCAGGGTGTAATTTCTACGCTTTTGCACAATTTCAACTTCAAAGTTTGTTTTCCCTGATCTCTGACGACTTCAGAGATGAGGCGTTTCAAAGGCGTTATCTGGTTCTGTTCCCCCACAGAATCATCTTCCTTGTAATACCGCGCAGACATGCAGCAGATGGTTCAAAGCTCTTGGCTAAGAACCAGCCGGGTCTAAGAAGAGACGAACATTATATTGTGCATCAAATCCCCCAGCTATAAAGACGTCTGTCTTGCCGTCAGCTCAAGTCCAGTTTGTATCACCTCTGTAATGAAACAATAACTTGAAGGATTGGGGGGATGAGGTACATCAGCAGAGCTCATCCCTCTGTCGTTCCTGTCTGGTGTAACCTTCTCTCTGAGTGCAGAGGTGACATCTGATTGGCCCCTCACGGGACAAAGCAGGCAGAAAGCTGGCTTTATTTAGAAGAAATATTGGACTGAAGGCATGTTGTCTCGAGCTCAAAGACGCAGCGATGAGCTTCAGCATGTACTGTGACTGATAAAGGAAAGGAAATCAAATGATCTGGAGCTTTTTGTATGTAAGAGAATTTACTGGTTATGGTTTAGTTACCAATCTGACTTATCAACTTTGTTTACTTCAAGCTTGTATTATGGATTCTAAATAAAATTAGATTAGAAACGAATAGTTATATTGGATAAATTAGGCTTTTGAATGGTGTAAAAAACTAAGTTTTCATGCCAGCCAAAAGGAGTGAGTTACAGGATACTTAATCAAGTGTGAGAAGAACATGCAGTCTCGCCTCTCTGATTAATTCACAGCCTTTTACTTTTTAGGGCAAAAATCGATCTTTCGCTTAGGTATGTGTATCTGCAGGGAGAGCAGCCCGCATCCTTCCCTACAGCGCTCACAGCATTGCTCACAGCCGAGGACATCAAAGTTAGCTGTTTCCCTGCAATTGCATCATCGCGTATCCAAATTATTAAAGAAACATTCATGAGTTGTTGCCCTGAAGAAACAAGAAAATGAGGCAAAAGAGTTCTGTATAGTCTAGATATTTCTCACTTAACAGATTGGGTCATAACGTGTACAAACACACACAAATAGTCATGCCATACTTTTGCCTTCCCAGGAATAAAGAAGAGGCTTGATTGACAACAACTCTAACGACAGCTTGTAGCAGCGAGAACAGCTCATCAGAAATCTAATGTATTGCCAATCCCTGAGGTAAAAGACAGACTTAATACATTGGGATGAAATTGAAAAACCCTTTGAGGGCTCCAAACACCGGAAAATGCCTCAGCAAAAATAAAATTACCAAAGGGTCAGGATATGGCTTTAATAATTGAAATTGTCATCAATGTGGTACAGCTTCATCTTCATCAAAGTGCTTACAAAGCATAAAATAACAGACTTGATCTTATTGTCAAAGGACTGTGGGACCACTGAAGACACTGCCATCCCCCATAATGACTCAGGATTAATCAATCATAGCTTGACTGCTCTAGGGTGTAGGATTCTGAGTTCATTTATTTCAAAGGTTTAAAAAGAAGGCTCCAGGACAAAAGAAAGTGCTTTATAAATATTTGACAAATCTGTTACATGCACACACCAGAATACCTTCTGTTTAGCACAGATGGCTGCCTGGAATCACTACATTTCCGGTCAGTTCTTGTGCGCCAGCCAACAAATTGATGAACAGGACGGCTGATCTTGCCACCTCTCTGTTGGGTCATTAGGTTGAGTGTGCAGGCAGTGAGAATGCCCAGAAAGTACACCTACTTAGAGTTCTAATTCTACTGACGTCTGGTGTATGTCACAATTTCACCATGGTAGAATGGAAAAAACAGATTGGACTGGAGAATGCTTCAAAAAAGTCAGCTCCCCAAGATACGAACAACCGCTGACTGATGTCCATGTTCGCAAATGTCATATTGTGCTCGCAAGTTTGTAATTTAAACCGAGCGCCACATCCAACTAGTAATTGAAATATGTTGATGTTACAGGCACCACGACCTAACATGTGAGCTGACACAGCTTCAGCAGTTGTCTGATGATGGGGACAGCGCCTCATGGTTACATTTAACATCATTAAATGATCTGATGTAAAAAAGGCAGTGACCTCATTCAGCTTAAATTTGAAGTGTTTTTCCACAGTAGGTTGGAAGTAACATGAAAAGCCTAGACTGTTTTCCTTACTTACCTGATTAAAAACCGAATTTAACTTTGAACTTTTCAGTTTAAATCTGATAATCTGATCTTTAGTAACTCTAATGATCTGATAGGCATTTATGTTTAAAAAGCTCCCTCTGCTGTTGAATCCCTGTCCTGACACTGTAAAAATTCTGTTAAACCTGATGTTATCTCTGCTTGAGCTCACTCCTAATATAGACTTTCTGAGGTCCTGCCAGTGTAATGAAGAAGAAACATATTGGTATTAGGTCCACTGT